AGTAGTAGGCATCGTTTTTGCATTCCTGTCTCTGCTGGACTTTGCGCTCTTCTCCGTGCGCTCCTCGCGACTGCAATAGACGTCGAGAAGTGGCATTGCTGTCGGGCTGGAAGCCCAGGCCCCATTAGCCCCAAAAGCCGCTTCTGGATGTCTATTGCAGTCGCGAGGAGCGCACGGAGAAGAGCGCAAAGTCCAGCAGAGACAGGAATGCAAAAACGATGCCTACTACTCCCTTGCAAGGGGAGCGAAGGAAACCGCCTGGGTCTCCGCTCCATGCCTCACCTGTCTGGAGCTGCCGAAAGCTTTAGACTCTGGCGGCGGTGCTGGTTTCCTGCCACTTCGGCGTCCCTGAAAGGTGACTCTGCATTCTCCTTTCCTTCGCCCCTCCTCCCTTCAAAAGCTGTGAGGCGCTTTCTTAGCGCTGGTTGTCCAGCTGGCACGGCCCCACGTGCGCGCGCTCCTCCTCCTCACTCCCCAAAGGCTCTTCTCCTTCCCGGAGCTCAGCGGGAGCCGGGCACAAGGGATGGGAGGCTGCTTTTGAAACCACACCTTGGAAAACTTCACTGGGAAGGGAGTTTGGGAACCGGCGGGGGGGACGCCCCGGAATGCCCCTGTGCTTTGCTGGTGGCCACGCCTCCTAGACAAGTTCAGGGAGGTCCTAGGAGGCCGGCTGCGCCACACAAACTACCGCCCGCGAGTGGCGACGGAACAGGCGGGGGAAGCGAACAAGGGAGCAAGGCAGGCGCTCTGTGAGGAACCTCTTCTAACCGGTTCGGTAGATTTGTGGAACCTCTTCTACCGAAGAGGTTAAAACTGGCAGAAACCCACCCGTTTCCCTGAAAATATGATCTCCCTGGATAATAAGCCCAATTGGGCTTTTGAGCACATGTGCTAAAATAAGCCCTCCCCTGAAAATAAGCCCTCCCTGAAAATATTGCAACACAGCAGCAGCCATGAAGTGACCACACTTGCCGCCTCTTGCACCTCAAAACTAATAAGACTTCCCCGAAAATAAGGCCAAGTGTTATTTCAGGAGTCAAAAGAAAATAAGACTCTGTCTTATTTTCGGGAAAACACGGTGTTAGTCATTGTATCTAAAATAAAGCACCTGTCTCAGTTTGTCTCAGAGCTGGGACCAGGCATGATAGGCGAAAAGTTCTATTCCGCTTTGCTTTTTAACTTCTGGGTCTGATTTAGCCTGTGTGTCTACCATCTGCTCAACTACTGTATTTTTTTGGAGCATAAAGCGGACCTTTAAAAAAATTTTTTTTAAATTTACCTCTTCAAAATCTTGGTGCGTCTTATATTCTGGTGAATTTTATACTCCAAAAAATACGGTACATAGATCCATGATCTGATCAAGCAGGTCTCTTGCAGTATTTCCAGTGTCCAAGCAGCAGTCTAAGTATGACTTTATTTGCTTGTTTGCATACCACCTCGCAAAACAGCAAAATTTGTAAACTTTAACTAGAGCAAGATATTGAACCATCCTAAACATAAATACACTGTAAAACCCAATAGCAGCAACGTTGAACAGAACAACAGATAAATATGCTTAAATTTAGAACCTTTAGAGAAATCTGGGTCTCCATATAAGAAAGGAGGCGAACCTTAAAGTCATCTGGCCACAAGCTAGTTAGGGCTTCAAGGGGTAATAGTAGCATTTTGAATGGACTTTAGATTCAAATACAAACACCACCACCCCAAAAGGGGGAGGAGTATATTATGACTGCATTTCCCAGCAATCTTTAAAGGCTAGGAGAGGAGGGATATTGGTTTTAATGGCTTAGACCCATGGTTATCCAAAGAAGGAAGGAAAGGAAGGAAGGAAGGAAGGAAGGAAGGAAGGAAGGAAGGAAGGAAGGGAAAGAGAAAGGAAAAGAAAAAAAAGAAAAGAGAAAGGAAAGCAAGCAGGAAACCAAGAAAGCTAACAGAAATACTGCAAAGAGGGTCATGGCACATGTATATAGAGTGGCTATATTTTCTTGGTGGTAGAGGGAGGTTGCGTTTTGTTTCTTTTTTAACCAAGGTCTGTCTCTTTAAGGACGTGCACTATGATTACATGCATTTCCTTCTTCCAGATGGGAGGAATGTTCACGCCAGGGATTATTTGGAAAAGATTTAAGGGCATGTTGACCTCAGGTCATTAGTTTGGCTCTCAACTGTGCCAGTTTCATGAACCTGCTTTTCCACTTCTGCAACAGAAAGCTTTTGACTTGTTTTCAAAACAGCTTATAGTTCACGTGGGACTGTCTGGCATGGCCACAACGGTGACATTGGAAAAATGTGGCCACAACGTGGGATACCGGGGTTTGGACAACTGCCACTTCTGCCCAGGTTCCGAATGCTGCATTGAAGGGGGCCCAGAATGCATTGATTCGATCATCGACATGGATGCCGTGTGCAAGAGAGTCTCTGCATTGGGACTGGATGTCACAGTCACGATATCAGAGGATGCTGGGCGGTATGAAGCGGAGAAGAGAGGGGAAGGGGATGGAGAAGAGTGGGGGTGGAGAGGGAGACAGTTTGAGGTACAGGCAATCCTCGACTTACAACCATTTGTTAGTGACTGTTTGAAGTCACAACGGCACTGAAAAAAGTGATTTATGACCATTTTCACAATTGACTGTTGCAGCATCCCGATGGTTGCATGATCAGAATTTGGGTGCTTGGCAACTGGCATGTATTTATGATGGTTGCAGTATCCTGGGGTAACGTGATCACTTTTTGTGACCTTCTGACAAGCAAAGTTAATAGGGGAAGCCAGATTGACTTAACGACCACATGATTCACTTAACTGCAGTGATTCACTTAACAACTGTGGTAAAAAGGTTGTAAAATTAGGCACAACTCACTTAACAGCCGCGTTGCTTAGCAGCATAAATTTTAGGCTCAATTGCGGTTGTAAGTCAAGGACTACCCTGTAGTCTTTTTGTATCTTTCCTAAAAATATTTTTTGAATGATGTGTAAATGTGGTTTAGTTGTATATATCTGTTGATGGCTGAGTTGTCTGAATGCCAAGCTTCCAGGAATTCCCTAGCATTTTTGGAGTTGGTTTGGTCTAAGATGCCAGTAATTGAAACGGCGTTTAAGTCTGTCCATGTGTTGTGAGATTAAGGAGTCATAGAGGAGATGGCCAGCATAAACAATTTAATGAAGGAGTTTTTATCATGAATTCTGCCAGCTAATTGGCGTTCATTGGTGTACTTGGATTGCTTACATTGCCTAGTTGGGTAATGAAACAATTTCAAGCAAATAGACAAGTTTAGAGAGTACTAAGAACTCCCCATTCAATTCCTGAACTACAGATATTCACTTCTGTTGAAGGGTCAAGGAATGAAATGCCATAATTCATTGAACTGTATATCTTTGTAGGCTTTCAAATGCAAGGGCTTATAAAGTTTGCTCCCTCTTCCCTGGCTGAAGAATCTCATTGTTCTTCTTGTAGGTATCTATGTGACTTCACGTACTACACTTCCCTGTACCAGAGCCACGGGCGATCTGCATTTGTCCACGTGCCTCCCTTGGGAAAACCATACAGCGCAGAACAGCTGGGCCGTGCACTCCAGGCCATCATAGAGGAAATGCTCAATGTCTTAGAACAATCTGAGAGCAACATCAACTGTCACAACGAACATTGAACTCGGGCCAAAGTCCCCGCCTCTTTACTTTCCTCATGGTTGCACTTCCAAAAACGTTTTCTCCTGTTCTTGCAGAATCCCAAGCTGGCAGCGTCCATGTAGAGGATTGAGAACAGAAATGGATTCTTGGCACTCTTGTGGAGATACATTGTGGGAGATCCTCCTTTGCTTCTCTTTCGATTCCAGCCAAACTAGCTCTCGCTAACTTCTTGGGGTCCCCATCGGTGGTTCAGGTCCTGCAAAGATCGTTAAGTGGATTGAGAGGATCTGCCAGTTAAGGCAATTGCTCCAGTTGTCTGATGTGCTCCAGTTCAATTTCGCAAGGTCTTTGTGTTTTCAGAAGGACAATTTGATGGTTCCACTCAACATGTAGCAGCGCTTTCGGTTCAAAATGTAGGACCCTCACAGGAGGTGCTATTCCCTTTACAAGAAGATGTATTGTACATTTGCTCCGGAAGCTTGGAAGATTTTTTTCTTCTTCACTGCTTAAAACAGATTCTTCCAATTTATATGGTAGAGTTCTGTTCTTCATGAGGAACGCTTGGGGATGGAAAGAGAGGCGGGAACATTTCCTTTAATTGACACCTCATGCCAAATCTGTTGATGGCTTCTTTTTTTAAAAAAAGACCAGATCTCTTTGGATTTTGCCTTTCCTGATTTCTGTAGCCACCCATTGGTCTGAAATGTAGAACTTCTCGCCTGCTGGCTTAATGTGCCGTAGGAACTGGCCTCTTCCCTCCCACCCACCCCAAATAGCCCTACCATAGCTATCTTTCCCAGTGCCTCAAAATGAGATGTTCCTCAAATATCCTTTTGTACCTTAGGAAAATAACACGGTACATATCCTTTTCTAAACTTTTCTGCTCTGCTAGGGAGGGATGAGACTCTGGATCAAGGTTAGGATTTTGGCTTCTGCTTTTGCTAGGAAAAGGGGGTGAAGAGTTGCTGGCACCATCTCCTGCCTGGTGAAAGCCTCTTTCGCTTCAGCTCCAGTTTCTGGGCAAAAGTGCCCATGATTTCTTCAGCAGAGTAGCTCTCCAGGAATTTCCCCTGGGCTCTACCCTCCGTTGTGCTTACCCAACAGTGGCCCTTGCCAGCTCTGTAGAAAACAATGCTGCACTTTTTACCTACATGAGATTAGAGTATAATATACATTCAAAAGATTAAAGACTGTGGGGTTTTGTTTTGTTTTTTTCTTTTAAAACGAGCAGTGTTCAACTTCACTCTAAACAGGGAGACTTTGGGGATGAAGCAGCAGGAAGCAACTTGTATGGCAGAATGAAGACTCAGCCACTCTATAATCTTGGACGATGGAATTGCCCGATAAAACTGAAAAGAGAGCAACTTTTGCTAAAAATGTTCAGGTTTAAAATGAAACTGGTTCTTCTTTGCTGTAAAATCATTCTTTTTTTAATCCCTCTTTCTCTCCCTCCCTCCCTCCCTCCCCTCCCTCTCTCCCCCTCTCTCTCTTTAAACTAATTGATCCTGCTTTTATAGTAACTCTCAGTGAGAGCTGCCTTGTGCTTGTCGGCTTGCTAAACCCAGTGGTAATCTGGTTGCAAGACAAAGGCCTTGCTGGAATTTGAATGCGTGGCCGTATTTTGAGACAGTCTTACATGAACCTCATCTGTACCCCTTTTCGGGTTGCTAAAGTTGCTCTTAAAACTTGTTTGCACACCAGCCTCTTACACTTGCATTCAAATTCCAAGCACCTTTGGGTGTAGTAAGTCAGCCAACTTCTTCTGTTTCATTTAATAATTTATTTTATTTAATATTTTTTTTGTCCAGATGTGATGACCTCTGTGCTTCCCCCTCCCTTCCCCCCCCCCGGTCCCCACTCTAGCAAAGGTGGGGTCACGGCATAGAGTCTGCATTTGTTTTTTAGATTTGCAAGCAGTCTTCTTCCTTGGAACACTTTGTAAGTAAGATGGCAAACTGTGCAAGGGGCCTTTTGCCCCCTTTTTTCTTAAAAAAAAAAACACCACATACACACACACAGCAACGATGCAATTTGAGGAACAGAGGGCTGCTGTTTTTAGTTCTAATAAAGTGTAGCTGTGAAATTTATATAATCTATTAGATGGGTGCAGATATGCACATTGTATAAAGGCTATCTCTCTTTGAAATGATAAGAATAGGTGACCTGGATAATTTTTTTTTCCTTTTAAGATGTGAAATGGCTTAACATTTAAATGGAAGGAAAGGTGGGTTGTTACAATTAAAAAACCTCCTTTTAGGGGACCAGACTTTTTTTTTTTAAGAGATAGTTACCCTTACTGGAAATTTCTCTCCCCCTTTCTTCCTTTCTTAAAATTACATTTTCTTTTTATCATCTGTTTGCTAAGGAAATGGGATTTTTCAGGCTTCACTGCAAAATCCTTTGCAAGGTTGACTTGATTTCAAAGACAAGCTTCTTGGAATGGTGAGGAGATTTGCCCACTAGCACCATCTCATCCTGTGGATTTGACAATACTTCAGTTTTCAGACAGTCACCTTATAGCAGTGTTTCCCAACCTTGGTGATTTTAAGTTAGCAATAGCAATAGCGCTTAGACTTATATACCACTTCACAGTGCTTTACAGCCCTCTCTAAGTGGTTTACAGAGTCAACCTATTGCCCCCAACAATTTGGATCCTCATTTTACCCACCTCGAAAAGATGGAAGGCTGAGTTGACCTTGAGCCAGTCAGGATTGAACTCCAGGTTGCGGGCAGAATTAGCCTGCAATACTGCTTTCTAGCCACTGCGCTACGACGGTATGCTTGCTGGGGAATTCTGGTAGTTGAATTCAGATATCTTTAAATTGTCAAGGTTGGGAAATGGTGCCCTCCAATAACCCCATTTCTGACAATATGAGTTCAAGGAAGAGCATCAAGCATCCTGGTCTGTCCATTTTGACAGAAGGATTCTTCTGCTGGTCCTCTGCCATCCCTTGGGTGTTTTACACTCATGGAACTTTTAGTCCCTTCATAATCACACCATGGGGTATCTGTGTTAAGAAATGTCTGAATCTCTACATTTTCTGGAGACCATGACGCTCTAAACAGGGATTCTGACTTGGAATGTGTATTAGATACATACAGGTAGTTCTTGACTTATCTGCACAATTGTGACCAGAATTTCCATTTCTAAACAAGGCAGTTGTTAAGAGGGTCATGCCCACTTTATGACCTTTTGGGCCATGGTTGTTGCTTAGCAAAACATTGCAGTTGTTAAGCGAATCATGCCATCATTAAGCAAATCCAGCTTCCCCCATTCTTTGCTTGTCAGAAGCTGGTTAGAAAGGTTGCTTATGGTGTTTATAAGATCCCAGGACACTGCAACTGCTGTAAGTATGTACATGCCAGTTGCTAGCTGCTCAGAATTTGTTGATGTGACCCTGGGGATGTTCTGATGTGAGAACTGATCAAAGCCCCTTTTTCAGGGCTGTCGTAATTTTTGAACAGTCGCTAAATGAATAAGTTGTAAGTCAAGGACTACTAGTATTTAGTATAAATAGATTAACAATTATTATTCGTTTTGCATCCCTCTAATTGACAACTTCAGTTACTGGGATGTAAATTATAATGGCAATCTGAAATATTTTTAATTAGCTGTTTTTAAAGGAAAATTCTTTTGTGTTCAGTGCAGCACATGTAATTTGTTAGTATTGTGTGCTAACAAATGCAGAGCTTTGCTCGGAAGTTTTTACTGGGAGATTGGTAAATGTGTGAACAGACTATTCAATACTATCTTTTAAAATGTGTAAAACAGTTGAGAATGTTGAATTTGGCACAGGAAAGAGGTGTGCATGTAACCGAAAACTTCTCAAGAGACCTTTTGCCCAGAATTTGGGGAGGGGAAACCAGGCTTTCGAATAATATTTTCTGGTAGGAGGTGTGGCATGGCTCTGAAAACAGCAGCCCAGAGGACAGTTGCTTCTCTTAATGCACAATATGTGGTGCTTCTGAATAAATCATTTTAAACCTTATTGTGGTATCAGCCTAGCCAAAGCCCCACAGAATGCGAAGGCTGTGGTTTTGGGGATCTCTCTGATTTCACATGTTATCCCAGCCTGTAGAGAGAAGTTTAAGAGTGGATAGTTCTACTTTGCAGCCTCTGACCCTTTGGCTGAATTCGGGATCAGAACCCTGGATTATGCCTGCTGCAGCATGTTTTTTTTTCTTCCTGGTTCAGCTGCACCCCCACTTCCGGGTGTGCAGGACAGTGGTGGGATTCAAATAATTTAACAACTGGTNTCCTTGCTCAGCATTTGATAATTAGAAGTAGACGGCCGCTGAATATTATGAGTTCCTTTTAGCCCATGTACCCAAATAACTATGGTTGGACCTAAGTGGAAATCATAGAATAGAATAGAATAGAATAGAATAGAATAGAATAGAATAGAATAGAATAGAATACAGTACAATACAATACAATACAATACAATACAATACAATACAATACAATGCAATACTTTATTGATAAAGTGTGATTAGACACACAAGGAATTTTTCTTCGGTGTATATGCTCTCAGTGTACATAAGGAGAATAAAATACATCAAGAATAAAATGCTACAACATTTAGTGATAGTCAAGGTTACTAATAAGCTATCAAATCGTACTAGGAAACAAATAAAAACAATATAATTGAACGATACAAGCAGCATGGTTATAGTCATAAGCGGGGAGAGATAGATACTAGGAACGAAGAGCAGAATAATAGTAATACAGTCTTAGTAATTATTGACATTGTTGTGGGAATTATTTGTTAAGCAGAGTGATGGCATTTGGGGGAAAACTGTCCTTGTATCTAGTTGTTCTGGTGTGCAATGCTTTATAATGTCGTTTTGAGGCAGAAGTTGAAACATTTTATGTCCAGGATGTGAGAGGTCTGTAGATATTTTCACAGCCCTCTTTTTGACTCCTGTAGCATACAGGTCCTCAATGGAAGGCAGGTTGGTAGCAATTGTTTTTTCTGCAGTTCTAATTATCCGTTGAACTCTGTGTCTGTCTTGTTTGCTTGCAGAGCCAATTTAAAGAACTTGAATGATCACGTCTCTTGCAGACCGATCATATGTGACTCACAGCGACCAATAAAAACAACAACATAAAAATGCATCACTTTAACCCCCTGATTCAACCCCATCCTAGCCCAATGCTTGGGGGAAGACCCAGGTTTTCACAGCCTCCAGCCACCGCCCCTCTCCCCTCAATCTGAGGTGTGGGGCTGTTCCAAAGGGCTGGGGAAGTTACAGAGAAAACACATTTCTGAGTCCTTTTAGGTCAGGGGTCTCCAACCTTGGCAACTTTAAGCCTGGCAGATTTCAATTCCCAGAATTCTCCACCCAGGAAAGTCCCCTATTCTAGACCCCTGTTCTAGGTGACAAAGTGTTTTGAAACCTTTCCCCCTTCTTTTTTTCCCAGGAGTTGGAGAAAATGGGCCTCGGAGAGGATGTGGATCTACACGTCTACGAGATTCCCGTTGAGTATCAGGCTGTGCAGAGGCTCATTCCAGCCTTATGGAAAAAACACAGCCCACAAGTGAGTGAAAGGAAGTGAGAACGGTGGTGAGGTTGAGGAAGACTGGTGTCAGGAAACTGGCTCAGTTTGCAAAACCCTGATTTTTGAGGCGAGGGACAATCATTGGGGGGACAAGGGAGGACCCTGACTGGAGTGACGGCTGTGGCCTCTCACCCACTTGGCAGAAGATGGGGGCAGGTTTCCTGTTTGTCTGACTCATTTCTCCAGGGTGGGCACGTTCTGCTCTCTTCCTCCCATTCTGGCAATGCGAAGGGAGAAGACTAACAAAGAACTATCTTTTGGTGACTGAGAGCAGCACATTCTTTTTTTTAACTTGGGGGCAAGAATTAAGCATTTCAGTGGGCAGAGCTGGACTGCCACCACTGGATTTGTTCTACCTGTGCTGTGTCTGTTTTAGAAAGCAGACAGGATTTGATGATTTTTTAAGAGGAATGGGGCCAAAAGCAATAGAAGGTGAATTTGTTGGGTGTTACAAGTGGTGGGTTTCAAAACTTTTTAGAAGCTCTTCTGTAGGGGTGGCCTGTTTTGTGGGAGTGGCTTGGTGGTCATGTGACTGGGTGGGAGTGGCTTGGTGGTCATGTGACCAGGTGGGAGTGGCTTGGCGGTCATATGACTGGGTGGGCGTGGGCAACTTGCAAAATGTGGT